AGAGGTTAGGACTTCAACATATGAATTCGCAACGGGTACACAACTCACACATATCAAGGAGAGAAGAAAAAAAGAGGGGGGGAACAAGAAGAGGAAGAAGGAGATGTATCAGTTGGGAGTGACTTCCTCTGCAAGTGACAGATATTAACGCTTCATTAAAATAGAGCTCTGCTTTTATCACTAACATTGAGTCTGATGGGTGACATGCTGGTTGAGTTGGTCAAAAACGTCATGGAAAGCCAGTCTCTGTCACTCTGCCACCTTATTATCCTTATGCTAGTTGTCTCATGGTCACAGATGGCTATTGCAGCCCTAAGGCAGGAAGACAGGGAAGGGGGCTGTGCCAGTGATCTTCTTCTTACCTCTGTCCTCTTGTAGAGAAGCAAAATCTTTCCCAAAAGGTCCCCAACCTGTTTCCATTTATACCTCATTAGCCATAACTAGGGCATATGGCCAGCCCAACTGCTAGTGAATCTGGCAGAGCAAATACCTGACTTTTCAGAACCTCTGGTAACAGGCAGCAGCAAGGGGTGGCTTGAGATAGCTGTTGGATGAGCCCAACAACCACATCTATCCCAGGGAGGAAGAGAGAGAGAAAGAAGAGAAAAAAATAGGAGGTGGTTGGAGGGGAAGATGAGAAGAGAAAAAGAAAGCCACCTGTAAGCCACTTGTATTATGAAATACCATACATAAAAAAGCAGTTTTTGTACAGAGCTGTCCGATGGTGTTCCCCATCCTATTTTTAAAATTAGCTATTATATTTTTTATAATAGCCCATTTGTTATAATTTTTATAATTAGCTATGATACCCAACAGCTTGCTTAAGGGGTTAGATGATTGCTCACCTTTTGGCATAAACATATAATATGTATTTAATGATTGCCTCTAGATAAGGAGTTATATGTGCACAATAAACCATACATCCCTAGCGTGTAACACAGTACTTGGCACATAGTAGGTAAGTACTAAAGATCTATTGAATAAATTAATCAAACCAGTCCAGGTAATTGTGGGAAGAGTACAAAATAGCTACTCAAAAAGATATCATGAGGATTTGTTTTGGAAACTTCTTAGAAATGCAAATTCTCAGGCCTCACCCGAGACCTAATGAATCAGAACTAGATAGAGTCAATACTCTACAGTTTAAACACCCTACAGATTTTGATATATGCTAAAGCTTCTGAGTGTATGCATGTACACATGCGTGCACACACACATAGCTAAACTATCTCTGTCCTTCATAATTTTAGGGCCATGAATATTTTATTTGCTGAAGTTTCTCTTCTTCCGTGCTACACTGATCATCTGTAGACACTATTCTGTTATATGAATCTTAAAAAAATTTTTTTTGAGACAGAATATTGCTCTGTCACACAGGCTGGAGTGCAGTGGCATGATCTCAGCTCACTGCAACCTATACCTCCTGGGTTCAAGCCATTCTTGGGTCTCAGCCTCCGGAGTAGAATAGCTGGGATTACAGGCATTCACCACCATGCCCAGATAATTTTTGTATTTTCTGTAGAGAGGGGGTTTCACCATGTTGGCCAGGCTGGTCTCGAACCTCTGGACTCAAGTAATCTACCTAGTCTCAGGCTTCCAAACTGCTGGGATTACAGGTGTGAGCTACCATATCCAGCTGAGGATCTTTTTAAAATGTTAAATTATGAAATATTAAAACATAAAGAAATTTACAGAGAAAAAAATAAAACACCCACATGCACACTCCTCAGATTTAACAAATGTTAACATTTGCCATACTGGCATGCCAGTCTCTAAAGTCACTAGGCCCAGCACTGGTCTCTTCCACCCTTCCAGCCTTCTCTGACAGTCTGTCTCTATTCCTGAGCATCCTGTCTGCTGCCTGTGGCTTCCTAAAACCCTGGGCCAAGAGAATTCAAGCACCTGTGGAAGTGCATATTCTCACTGGCGTTCCACCAGGGGCCAAGTTAATAGTCATTTTCACTCCCTGGAGATTTAGTCCCCTCTCCCTTTAGTTCCAATGATATATGCTGAGATGCCTTTATGTTCAGACACCCATGAGAGACGTTGGAAGTGAGCTGAATTGTCACTATCATACGCTTCTCATCTGAAATGCAACTCTAAATTATTATTTTTTTTTTTTTTTCCTTAGAGATGACAGTTTGGCTCTGTGATATAGGCTGGAGTGCAGTGACACAATCGGCTCACTGCAGCCTCAACCCCTGGGCTCTAGTAATCATCCTGCTTCAGCTTCCCGAGTAGATAAGACTACAGACACACACCATCACGCCCAACTTTTTTTTTTTTTTTTTTTCATAGAGACGGGGTCTCACTACATTGCCAAGGCTGGTCTCAAACTCCTGGCCTCAAGTGATCCTCTTGCCTCAACCTCTCAAAGTGCTGGGATTACAGGCATGAGCCACTGCACCTGACCCTCTAAATTATTTTGCCTTCTTAAGCTCAAGAGCAATGTTCTTTCAGATAAGACCCACTATAGACAGAGAAAAGAATGAAGCAAATTCAGCTAGTGGTCAGAGAGTGTCGAGTTCTTATTCTAGCAATATTGTGTAGGGTGCTTATTCTCTTTGCATCTAAAGAAGGAAAGAGAATTTTTATTCCATCTAAAGGAAAGAGAATACTACTCAATTCTTAAATATAATTGGGTTTATAAAGTACATCCACACATATGGCCCCATCTGATACTGCCATTTGATAACAACTGGTATCCTTACAGACTGTCTGTCCTGTCGCCCGCTGTGTTCCCAGCATCCCAACTGTGCTGGTATAACCTAATGCTTATTAAAGAAATGAAGGACAGAGGATGCTTAAAGTGGTAGCTACGGAATCACCATGAAGGGCAGAGGTGACTGTCTAGTAGGAAGGGAGCCACTCGAGTAGGAAGGGGTGGTGCCACTCAAAGGAGTTTGTCTGTGAACTATTTGTTTCTTGTTCTGCCCTAATTTCTTTGAGAAAGTCTTAGTTTGAAAAAAAGTCAGCTGAAATAAAGAGGGAGCCCAGCAATGAATTTGATTTACATTCTGATCTAAGTTCTTTATCTCATTGTAGACCAGTAACAAAGAGTTCTCAGGCTGGATCTGGCTGTGGACCATGCTTGGAGGAGCCCTGGGCCAGAAGAGCTAACTTGAAGCTGAGTGTGCTCCATGTGTACTTTTTATTGTACTTAATTGTACTGAGTTCATTATGGGTCACTTGGGAGAGAAGCAGATGGATATTACGGGATGACTGAAACCTTCTCCACACAAGCTATTCCTATTGGTCCCATTGAAGCTCAAAGATTACACATTTCAAATACTCTTTTCTTTTTCATTGACTGTAATTGTAATTGTACATATTTATGGGGTACAGGTAATATTTTGATACAGGCATACAACATGTAATGATAAAAGCAGGGTAATTAGGATACCTATCATCTCCAACATTTATCATTTCTTTGTGTTGAGGCCATTCCAAATCTTCTCTTCTAGCTATTTTGAAATATACAATAGATTATTGTTAACTACAGTCACTCTACTGTGTTATCGAACAATAGAACTAATTCTTTCCATCTAACTGCATTTTGTACCCATTAACCAGCCTGTCTATATTTACCCTCCTCTGCCCCACCATTCCCAGTGTCTGGTAACTACCACTCCATTCTCTACCTCATAAGATGACCTTTTATTAACTCCCACATAGGAGAGAGTACATGTGATATTTGTCTTCCTGTGCCTGGATGATTTCACTTAACATCGTGTTCTGCATCCATACTGCTGCAAATGACAGAATTCTACTCTTTATATGGCTAAATAATCTTCCACTGTGTATACAGGCCACATTTTCTTTATCATTCATCTGTTGAAGAATACTTAAGTTGATTCCATATCTTGGCTATTGTGAACAGTGTGGCAACAAACATGGGAGTGCAGATATCTCTTCAACTTACTGATTTCCTTTCTTGTGGATATATACCCAGCAGTGGGCTTGCTAGATCAGATAATATTCTATTTCTATTTTTAGTTTTTTGAGGACTCCCATACTTTTTCCATAATGCCTATACCTATTTACATTCCCGCTAACTGTATACAAGAGTTCCCCTTTCTCCACATCCTTGCCAACATCTCAAATAATCTTTAATTGCAAGATCCTAGAGTAATACTTTTTGTTTTACAATTAAAGCCCTTTGACTGAGAAGAGTGGAAGATGATTTTGAGAGGAAGGAGCCTCTGGCACTTGTCAGCACGTTAAAGTTTGCTGGCCTGGTTCTACTTTCATGCCAGTTTTTCTTCAAGCTTCCCCTGTACCCAGAAACACCAGGAACCTGGGTCATTCTAGCTCTATTTGGGTGAACTTAAATTGTGTTGTAAAGATTATTCAGTGCCTATCTTAGCCATCAACCCAACCCAGACCACTCTGGTGATGTCAAGACAAGCAGAGTCTGAGAGTCTAGGACTCTGTGCAAGATCATGGTAAGCCAGTGGTCCTCAGACTCCAGCAGCACTAAAATCCTCTGTAAGGCATTTAAAACACAGATTACTGACTCCACCTACTTCTGACTCACTCTGCCTGGGCTGAGGCCCAAGAATTCGCATTTCTAACAAGTTCTCAGGTGATGCAGCTGGCCTGGGACCACACTTTGAGAACCACTCTTCTAGGTACTCAACACAGGTGATCATGGTGGAAAGTGGACATTTCCCATTCCATCCATAAGCAGTATTTTTGCATACTTACTCCAGTGGAGACCGCAAGTTGTTGTCAAACATCTATCATCTCTTTCTTCTTTACCAACAGAACACGAATTTTATTAACAACATACTGAGCCTTAAAAACACTACATTTTTCAGACTTCTTTTAGCTAGAGGGGTCCCTGTGACACAGTTTTTATGAATAAAATGTAAGTACATGTCACCAAGTGGGACTTCTAGAAAGTCCATTAAAGAAGTTTGCCTGACTCTTGCTTTGTTGCTGTATTTCACCCACAAATGGCTCATTTCTTCCTCCTCCTTTTTTTTTTCTCAAGTTCAGATCAGAAGGGTAATGTGCCCGTGTCGTCACATGGTTCAGAGGGTGACACATCTCACACATGCACATGAATACCCAAGTATCATGCTCATAAAATACAAAAGGATTGCACTTCCCTTCTTCTTTAGTGGGATATGGACACGATGCTAGAAGGAGTTCCTCCATCTGGAGACCACAGGTGATAAGCAAGTGTCAAGGATGCTTGAGAGGACAGAGGTACCTGGGTCCCTTGCAGCATCATGTCTGTCATGCCAGCTCCAGACTGCCCATCTCTAGACCTCTGATTATACGAGAAAAAGAAAACTCCTCATTTATTTATTTAAGCCATTGTTTGGGGGTCTACGTTATTTTTAGCCAATGAAATTCACCTACCATGTTAAAAACCAGTGCTAGATGTAAAGATAGAAAATATATGTTTCCTACCTCAAGGAGCTTTGGTGCAGCTTTGAGAATAAGAAAGTGACACAGCTCCTGAGGGAACATGGGATCCAAGAAGACTTAAGGTTAGCAACAGCCAGAACACCTCCCAGGTGCCCTGAGGAACTGTTTTGAAAATATTGAGATCTGGGAAGACAGAGTAAAGTTGAAGTATGAAGTTGAACTTAGGGATCTTAGATAAGACAGTTTTACTTCAGGCATTTACACTCACAAAAAACAGTGGTCCTTGAAAAGAAGATGCTGGGAAGCGTTCGGGTCTGTAGTAGGGATGGGGAATGTACAAAATGGAAAAGAGAAGGAACAAATCTTACAAAAGTTGACATAAAGAAACTTTGGAGGTTGGGTGAGGAACACTGAGTGAGACTAGCATGTGGATTTGGTCAGGGAGAATAGTGGTTTATAAATATTTTCAAGCCATGAAGCCCTTATTTCAGGAAAGCATCATAAGAAAAGTAGCTACAAATTGAGCTATTCTGGTTCTATAAGTTGTAGAGAACCCAGAGGGTCAGCTAACAACCTTCCCTTTCCTATGGCACCTTAGGGTCTCCACGGAGCAGCAGGGAGCTACAGGGACTGCTTTCTGGGGAGAATAGGAGGGAAAGGTGGAAGGTGAAGTGGCTTGGGTACTATAAAATAATTCTGAGCTGAGGAAGCAAGAGAAAACTTAAACAAAGTTTTGTCTGGAGATTTAGGAGATCTGAGTTCCAGGTTTTCTAAGCTATTAACTCTCAAACAGACACAGAAAAAAGCTGTTAAGCCTCGCAGCAGCTCCATTTTCAAGATGCTTTCCAGACCTAAAAATGTTTGAGACTAATTTTAGGGAAATCATATTTACAAAAGAGGTCATGATTCCCAGAATCTATGGGTTTTATATGGAGAGTCACATTGAAATGGTCCTAAGATTTTTAATGTTTGATTTGCTTTCTGCTCTTGAAAGTTAAAGTTTCTCTAACTCAGTCCCTTTTCTGTTTTCTCTCTAAAGGATAAGATTTATAATATTAACTTCAATTTTTTGCATGTATCTGATAGTAATAAAGAAAAGTGAAAGGTAAAATCCACCCTGGAATATGTTGTTCTACAACATTGCTTCTAAGAATTTTAAGACAAATAGAATTTGGTACCTGTTTGACCCAGAAATCCTATTACTGGGTATATGCCCAAAGGAATATAAATAATTCTGTTATAAAGATACATGCACATGTGTGTCCATTGCAGCACTATTCACAATAGCAAAGACATGGAATCAACCCAAATGCCCATCAATGATAGACGGGATAAAGAAAATGTGATACATAAACACCATGGAATACTATGCAGCCATAAAAAGGAAAAAGATCATGTCCTTTGTAGGGACATGGATAGAGTTGGAAGTCATTTTCCTCAGCAAACTAACACAGAAACAGAAAACCAAACACTGCATATTCCCACTTATAAATGGGAGCTGAACAATAAGAACACGCGGACACATTGTTCAGGGCACAACACACACTGGGACCTGTGAGGGTGGGGAGGGAGAGCATCAGGAAGAATAGCTAATGGATGCTGGGTTTAATACCTAGGTGACTGGATGATCTGTGCAGCAAACCACCATGGCACATGTTTACCTATGTAACAAACCTGCACATCTGCGCATGTACCCCTGAACTTAAAAGTTGAAGAAAAAGAAGAATTTAGTGTCTGATTTAAAAAGCACTAGGAATCTGTGACCAGCCTGGTTTTTTATAAGACAAAAAATACATGGTGATTCATAGCATAAATATGGAGCTGTTAATTTGTAAAGCAGCTATAATCAATTTCTGTCCATTATTCCTAATGTCACTCTGTAAAAGGTCTTCATTTCGCTGCCCATTTTTCAGATGAGAAACCAGAAAGACACAAAAATAAATTCAGTTAACACAGCTTCATGATGGTAGTAACTTGCCTGGCTGTATTAGCATAGGAACGGAAGTCTCCTGCATTCTAATCTTTCTAAAATTAGCCAACTGTGATGGAAAGAATCATTCATTCCATAAATCTGCCCTGAACAGAATTATGAGCAAGCAGAGACAAGCCAGCACTAACTTCTTTCATCTCTACTGCCATGACGGGCATTGAATCTGAAAGGAAGAGCGACAACAAAGGCACGGGCTCTGAGCAAGGGAAGACAGTGCATTCACACTGAAGACAGGGGCTTGCTGTGCTTCCCCCGCCATTCACAGAACTCAGGAAGTTCTTCTGTATTCAATAAAACCAATGTAAGGGGTTTCTGTTTGTTTTTTTGTTTTTTTCCAGAGACTATTCATTCAAGGTACTTTCCATATCTGATTAGCCATTCCCTTGTCACATCTGAAGAGGCCTCTGGACGGAGCATGTACCCAAGGCCAGCCCTGCAGGGTGTTATCCAGAAAGATCAGTTACTGTGCCTTGGAGTCCATGTCACTGAAGAGGCCACAGGCTTCTGAAAGAGCCAAAGGAGTGTCACAGGCCCGGGTATCTGTCCCTACCCTGCAGAGGAAAATTCTCGCTTGATCTGGGACTGCCTCCCTCAACTCTCTAATATCCTGAAGCACTCCTTAGAACCCAGGTGACTCTGTGTCAAGGCACTTCCAAGACACTAGGAGATGGCTGGTGTCTCCTCATGTCATTAGCCATCTTCTGCTCACCTGCTGTATAAATGACCCTAACATAGAACATATTGCTTCTTAACAGGTTTTATTTTCTGTAAGTAAATGACGAGAGAGAACAAGAATAAGCATGTGCAGAGCCTATCAGGGGAAAAAAAATCACTACACACTTACTTTAAAGAAGAACTTGTGTTAGGTTAATGTTTTCCTAGAATGCAAGTTTACCCAGGAAAGAAAAGGAACTGCAAATCTATAAGCTGTTGAGGGGCTCTTGGATGTTTTGATGAAACAAAACAGAAACAATGACAAAACCCCACAAAGTTACTATATCTTGAGCCATAATAAAGTAGAAGACATAATAACATTTTGAAAGATTTGGAACAACTTTTACCTTTGTTGTATGTTTACTTTCTCATGATGTATTCTTACGCTTTCAAATATAGTACATATGAAGCAGAGGGTAGAAGATATGCTCTTCTGATTTTTTTTAAGTTAGATCTTTGGGAGGAGGCTAAATCTATAAGTATAAAACTTATGGGGAGAATAGGAGGAAAAGGTGGAAATTGAAGTGGACTTTCTAACCTTGGAAGTGGACTGATGATTGTTACTGCTGCTTTTAAAGTAACAATTATTGTTACTACTTTTAAAGCAGCAGTAACAATCATCAGTCCACTTCCAAGGTTAGAAAGTCATTTAATGAGAAGACCCAGATCAACAGTTGTCCAGTTGGATCCAGCAGGGTGTTAATAGGGTTTACTCAGGAAAGGAAAAGTTTCATGGCCAAATGTGTTTGAGAAAATACTGGACTAAAAGATCTCTGGTTTTTGCTTTTGTTTTTGTTTTACTTTGAGGCAACTCAAAGCCTGATAAAACGTTTCAACATGTATAGTCAATCTCAAAGCAGGGGTAAAATATAAAGCAGTTCCCAAATTTATTTGATCACAAAAACCTGTTATTCCTAGAGGATGTTATGAGATTAATGTTCTTTAGCTTAGATTTTGGGAAATAAGATAATCTATACATTTCTGTAAGGAAGAAAGGGAATGAGGGAGAAAGGAAGTGAAGAAATAACAAAATGCAAATCTTAGCTCACCTAAAGCTGCAAGTATCTGACAAAATCATTGTTCATACAACATTTCTAGATTTAAAGAGAGAGGAAAGTGTATGGCATTCTCATTAAACTAAAAAAAATACAAATAGTCAGTGTGATAAAAGCACTTAGCATTGTCACCCACAGCTCTCTCATCTACCCTCGCTCTCTCGTCTATCATATTCGCTTTTGAAAATAAAAACAAACTAAATATAAATAAATATACTAAAAATCAAAATAAATGATGGCAACACAATTTTAAGGTTGTGAATAATCAAATTCTGTCTTGGATTTGCCCCTGAGAACTGACTGGACCCACCCATATTCCATACCTGCCTCTGGATACAGGCAAACTGCAAACACCCGTTAGTACTCTCAGCAGCCACTCAAGACCTCCTGGATCCTTTGGGTTAGCACTGATCACACCAGGCACCATGCTAAGTACTTAGAGTATATTATCTCATTTAATCTTTACAACAACGCCATGAAGTGGGATATTGATTTGATTGTACAGTACTATGGTCTCAATATGTCCTTCCAAAATCTATGATAAACCCCAATTTCCATCATAGTGATATTAAGAGGTGGGGCCTTTTTGAGAAGTGATTAAGTCATGAGGGCTCTGCTTTCATGAACGGGATTAGTGCCTTTATAAAACAGGGTGAAGGGCTGGGCGTGGTGGCTCACGCCTGTAATCCCAGCACTTTGGGAGGCTGAAGCAGGTTGATCACCTGAGGTCAGGAGTTCAAGACCAGCCTGACCAACAAGATGAAACCCTGTCTCTACTAAAAATACAAAAATTAGCCAGGTGTGGTAGAAGACACCTATAGTCCCAGCTACTTGGGAGGCTAAGGTACTTGAACCTGGGAGGCGGAGGTTGCAGTGAGCCGAGATCGTGCCACTACATTTTAGCCTGGGCAACAGAGTGAGACTCCATCTCAAAAAAAAATAAAAAATAAAAAACAGGGTGAAGGGC